GGCACTTGGACTTACACACACATACTCACACAGACACACCACACAAACATACACAATTTAAATAAATAAAAACTGCTTTAAAAGTCGGCATGATGGCTCCTGCCTTTAACCTCTGCACTCTCGAGACATAGATGGGCAGATCTCTGTGTGTTCAAACCTGACTACTCAGGGAGTTACAGGCCGGCCAGCCAGAGCTGCACAGTGAGACACTGTTTGGAAAAACAGATTGCTGACTCTGTGGAGATGCCCAGAGATTGCGTGCCTAGAGAGGTCAGAGAAACTGTCCCTCTCACAGACCTTGCATTCTTTCATTTTTAATTCTTTTTTTTTTTTCTTTTCTGAGACAGGGTTTCTCTGTGTAGCCCTGACTGTCCTAGAACTCCCTCTGTAGACCAGGCTGGCCTCTCACTCACAGAGAACTGCCTGCCTCTGCCTCTCAAGTGCTGGGACTAAAGGTGTGTGACCCCACCACCGAGCTGCCCTATGCATTCCTTCATCTGGGTGTTCTTTCACACCCTCTTAAATAGCCTTTGTCAGGAATCACTGAGCAGGCAGTGTTGCTCTGAGTTCTATACATCTCTCCAGCAAGTGATGTGAACCCATAGAAAGTGACAGGAACCCATCAGCTAACAGCTGACAGGTCAGAAACACAGGTCCTTTGCTATAGGCATCCGCCCTAAGGGTGTGAGCCTTTACCTTGAGGTATCTCCCTACTTCTGGTGTGATAATTGAGTAAAATTGTGCCAAGGTCCCGCTGCAGCCTGGATTCAGGTCCTGAGATGGGACAGGGGCATCAGAGGAAGAAGTTATTCAAACACCAGATGAGTTTCACACAAGCTGCCAGCCCAAATCACTCAAGCTGTCTTTATTTATACTTCAAAACAAGCCACGTTTATCCCACCTTCCTGCAGTAACTTCCAGAAAAAAAGAAAATAGGTTTTTCCCCTAACTCTTACATCAAAACAACTTTTAAAACAAAAACAATGCTCAGCATTTTGTTAGCTTGGCTAAATATGGAGCCGGCACATCCTGTCTTGTCAAGCTAGAAGGTGATACACGTAGACACACATCCTCAAGAGCAGCAATATCACTCAAAACTTAGCAAAGCCCGTTGCAGAAACGGGTCATCTGCCATAAACAGGCTGCATAGTTAGCTTGTATTTCTCTGGCTGTTCCCTTGCCCCACAAAAGGGTCCTGCACACTTAAATCTCTCTATAAGAAACTTGAGCAGCATCACTCAATTCAAAGATCTAATTTACATTATTTTATGTATGCGGGTGTTTCGTTTGCATGCTTCTATGTGCTATGCATGCGTGCCTGGTAGCTGCGGGGGGGGGGGGGCCAGAAGAGGCCATCAGATCCCCTGAAGCTGGGGCTGGAGATGGTTTTGAGCAACCCCACCGTGTGGGTACTTGAAGTTGACCCTGGGTTCTCTGCAGGAGCAACAGGGGCTCTTGACCACTGAGCCGTCTCTCCAGCCCTCTCTGACTACGTCTAAGGTCTCCTTGTCTCTGGTTTTTCACTTCTCGCTGTACTCACGAGACGTCCTTGACAGTCTGGATGGGTATTCCTTCTCGCCCATCTTGCTGTAGGTTCTTACTGCGCACGTAGATTGTCTCTCTCATGGATGTCAGAGAGACCCCTCACGTATGACCTTAACCTGCTCTCAAACGGATCACTGTCTCCTCCATGCTCAGACACTCTTCTACATATATTCCCCATCTTTTTTTATATCTCCGTGCCTCGTTCTGATAATTTTTTCTCATCTAGCTTCTGATTCATTACCTCTTTCTTCAGTCATGTCTGTTATGTTCTTAAATCTATCCTTTGAATTGTTTTCAGCTTTTATTCTCAGCTCTAAAATTTCCACTTTTAAAAAAAGTAATTTTCAATTCTCTACCAAAATTCTCATCCTGTCTTTTATTTCTATCTTTCCGAAATAGTGGTGTGGGGTGTTGTTGTTGTTTTGTCTTTTGTTAAATGTGTATCTGAAACCTCTAATGCCCAGAGACCCTGAAGTACATCTTTCTTCTGTGTTTGCCTCTGTGCCAGATCCCATCATGTGGTTTGATTTTTATGCTGGGGTTTTTGTTTTGTGTATGTTAGTATTTTGTTTCTTTGTGGTTTGTTTGTTGTTACTGTTGACATTGCAACTACAATTTCTTTGTTAGAATCATTTCACGCAGGGAGATGAATTTGAGCCAAGAACAATAATAAATGTCTAAACACGCCGTGATGAAAATCGTTATTTTCTATGTTACAATGTCTTAGTGGATAAGGAGCAGGAGAGAGGACTCGGTGGTTAGGGGCACTGGCTGCTGCTGCAGAGGCCCAGGTTTGGTTCCCAGCACCCACATGGTGACCCACAAGTCTGTTCAATGGATTCGGTGGCCTTGTCTGACCTCTTTGGGCACCAGGCACAAATATGGACCGCATACATGCATGGAGGCAAAGTGTTCATATAAATAAAAGCTTAAAACTTTGTGAAGAATTTAGTAGTTTTGTTGGGCTTAGTGAAACACACGTGAAGCAAGGACAGAGGAAGGTCATGGACTCAAGCTCGCCCTGGACCACACAGTAAGCTGCAGGCAAGCCTAGACTACACTGAGATTTTTATCTTGTAATTAAAAAAAGAAAGAAATGTGTTGTCTTTGGTACATTTAAATGAATGCATTGTAATTCTTTTAATGAATAACTTTTACAAAGAAATGTGTTAAGTATTTACTAATAAGGTGATATGATATATGGAATATGTTAAATTATCTAGTTGGGAAGAAAGAAGACTAGCTGGAAGACAGGTGAAACAAGACTGACAGAAAGCTGATAATTATTGGAGTCAAGTTGAGAGTGTTTGGGATGCATAATGCTTTGCATAATTAAAAAGGCCTGTGAGAAGGCTTGTTTTTATTATCGCCAATTATGTGTGTGTCCAGAGCAAGGGCTCATTGAGTTCAGAAGAGATCTTTTACCAGAAAGAATTTACAAGAACCCAAGGGCATCGGCAGAATGTGTCACCTTAATCCAGCCATGGGGGGGGGCATTGGACCCCCTGGATCTGGAGGTACAAGCGGCCATGATGAGCCACCCACAGCGTGGGTGCTGGGAACTGAGCCCGGCCAGGTCCCCTGGAGCAGCCAGTGCTCTTCGTTCCTGAGCCGTCTCCTGCTGCCACCGTGGTGTTTTCTTTCTAAAAAGCTGTTTCAGGGCTGAGAATGTAGCTCAGCAGCTCAGCGTTTACCTAGTGTGTGCAAGGTCCTGGGACTCCCTAGCAGGGAGAAAAGAAATAAATAACTACTTCGTTTTAAAAAGATGTTGTGCTAATTTTAAAGCCTACAGCTTAAGTTGGATGTGGTGACACACACCTGTAAACCCAGTATGTACTTAGAGGGCAGAGGCAGGAGGATTACAGAAACATCAGGTTAGGCAGCCCTACCTAGTAAACCCCTTGACGCCGGGCGTTGGTAGCACACGCCTTTAATCCCAGCACTTGGGAGGCAGAGGCAGGCGAATCTCTGTGAGTTCAAGACCAGCCTGGTCTACAGAGAAAGTTCCGGGACAGTCTCCAAAGCCACGGAGAAACCCTGTCTCGAAAAACCAAAAAGAAGAAAAAGAAAGATCCTTGTCCTACCCACTATCACCCCAAAACACTAAGTTTATACAACGCAGACTAATGTGCTATGGGCCATCATAGCAGTTCATTTTTCAGAGTTAAAAAAAAAACACGATTTATATAACTTATTGGCTTTAATACCAGACAGGATCTATCAAGATAATAATTTTAAATGAGCATAGCTAAAGATGAGCATAGCTAAAGATGTTTTTAAAATAAAATTAGATTCTGTTCATTTGCAAGAGAACCGTGACCCAGGAGGTTTGGCAGAGCTAGTGGTGGGAAGGGAAAAAGGACTCATCCGTGGGGGCTCCGGGCAGGAAAGAGGGCAAGCGTATGGGGGGGGGGGCACGACCACCTTCACGTAAGGCGCTGGATGGAGTCTCGAAGGAATGAGTCAGCTGCTGTGTGGGCTCAGATTGGAACCAGGGGTCAAGGTAAACAGCAGTGAAGAGGGAGAGGAGGGGTCTTTCGAGCAGCCCTGGAACTTCAGAGGCAGAGGGCTTGAGATGGGTGTCACAGGGCAGAGGGTCAGCCCTTGGCTGGCACCAGTGAGATGCTCAGCCGGTCAATGTGCCTGCTACAGTGACCCGAGTTTGACCCCAGGACCCGCATGTTCAAAGAGACAACCAGCCCAGCGGGCTGTCCTCTGACCTACACACACACACACACACACACACACACACACACACACACACACACACACACAGCGCCCACCTGTATACACAAACAAACAACTTTACAATAAATCCAGGTAAAGTGTTAATAACTGTGGTGGCCCCGGAGCCAGTTTCTTTCTAAGGAGACCAGAGCAAGGCAGATGGGGCCCTGAGAAACCTTTGTGCTGCACCGGGAACTCGGAGGTGCTGAGAGGAGGGAAGCAGGCCGTCCACCAGGAAGCAGCAGCTGCCCGCCAGGAAGGTGTGGGACTTGAAGGAAATGGAAGGACTGATGATTCAGGGTAGGGTCTGCAGGAAGTCTGTGGACAGGAGGGAAGGCCCTGGAACCCACAGAGGGACGGAAGGCTCCCTAGAGAGAGAGGAAACTGAGGGAGGCAGTGCTTACCTCCGTGAGACATGGCGCGCCCAATGCCACCAACAGCTCTCGTCAAAGCCCTCCTCCCAATGGGAGAGTGAACAACAGGGGGGTGGGTCCTGCCCTCCTGACCACTCGGGACTCAATGGGTGGGGACGGCAGCCAGGCCTGGCAAGATGCAAGCCCACCTCCCAGCCTCCAGTCCCCCCCCCATGGTTTCAGGAGTTTCCATCCATGACCCTGACCACCCCTCCCCCACCACAGTTTCCGTCATTACACCCACCATGACCACCGTCACTGTGACCACCTCCGTCCCTCCGTCACTGTCCACCCCACCACAGCAATTACTCTCACCAACACAGTTCCTGTCCTTCATGGGGTCTCCTATTCTGAGAGCATACACACATCCAAATAAAGTAGCAGAGGCCAAACCGGTGCCTATGGCCTGTGAGGCTTGCCAGGAGCTGCTGGGCCTGTGTTTCTGGCTTCCTTCTGAAGGACATGGCAGAAGCTGGGTTTTCCTTTGCCTTGTCTTTCCCATGGCCAGCTACGTGGCCTTCCTTAATTCCTACCCTTGCCTCACCCCGAATCCTCCATGCACTGTCTCTGAAATGGAAAAATTAAACAGATTTTTCTGAGGGGGGAAAATCCTTAAGGAAGGGAGTGTATGCCGGAGGATTAAGGGCTGACTGGCGCCCAGTTGTCCCTGGTTCTCCTCCAGCTTCCTGTAGGGACACGTTCCCCATTCACCAGGAACCCCTTCAATCTCCATCACTTTCCTCACTAGCCTGTCCCTGATACCCCCAGCAACCCTGCCCATAAGCCCCCTCTTCCCGGGTCTGGGGAGATGGCGGCCTGGAAGTACAGTCTCTGGAAAGAATGTTTGTGCTGAGTAACTTGTTCTGAGCAGCCTTGCTAATCCCCAGGATTAGAGGAAGGGAGGCTGGGGGATACAGGAGGCAGCTTCTGGAATGACTTGGCATGTGTGGTGAGGGGAAGCAGACAGGCTGGCTGTTGGGACCCGCTAAGCCCCTCACTCTGCTGAGCAGCCTGGGCATACCATCCACCTCTCTGGGCTCCCATGTCAAGGGGGCACGTAAGACACAGGCCCCTGTCCTGCGAGCTGGGATGACTTACCCTGGTAACCCATCCCCTCCCCTCATCATCGTCAAGTGCATGCCTGACGGCGTGTGTGCGTGTGTGTGCGTGTGTGCATGTGTGCGTGTGTGTGTGTGTGCGTGTGCGTGTGTGCCCGTGCGCGTGCACGCGCGCACGTGCCTCATCTCCCTGCCACAATGTCTGCACCCAGGAGCTCCAGGCCCTGCCGCTGTCCTCCTTGGCAGGAGGGAGGCTTTGTGTCAGCTGGCTTGCTTGCTTTTGAGATGGGGCCTTTGTTGCACAGCCTCAGCTGTCCCTAAACCTACCCTCTTCTTGCCTCTGCCTCCAAAGTGCCACAGTGGCAATCCTGCACATCACACCCAGATGTGCCCCCATGTTGTGGCCATGCCTCTAGCCTGTCTTCTCGAAATCCATTTTACCTGCACTTCCCTTGCTCTATATGGAGACTGGCATTCAAGGCCCCCTCGCCTCCCCCAGGAAGCCTTCACCCAAGCTCTACCTTGGCCCTGACTGACCCACAGCTCCGACCTTCTGCTGCCTCCCTCCTGAGTCCTCCCTTGACTTCTGAGTTGGGACTAATCCATCCATCTCTGACCTCCGGCAAACTTAATAAGCCACCGACAAACCGAATCTCCAGCAGCACGGAGGGGAGGCCTCTCAATAACAAGTTATAACCCACTTACCAGGCGGATTTGCTTTGGGAAAGAAGCAGGTAATTGAATCTCTCCCTCTGGGCGCCATCTGTCTCCATGGCTGGGGCCTCACCCACCCGATGCCTACCTGTATCCGGCAGCCCAAAGCCAGTGAGTACCGGGCAATAATAAAATTACTGCGTTATTTTATTGAAGGAAGCTTGGGTTTTGGGGGGACTCGGGGAAGGTTCTCGGAAGATGAGAAGAAATGAAGACCAGGGTCAGAAGAGAATGATAGAGGAGCACTAACACCCCAAGCTTCACCTGGGATGAAGCGGGACACAGAGAACACAGACCTCCTTAGTTTTCTTTGAATTCTCAGCCACACTTTGATCCTTGCGAGTTTCTGGAGTGGTTGCTTTGTGGAAAGTTTCCCAGCGGCGGTAGAGAAGCTTGGATGTGTTAGCTCCCACACAGCAGGGTAAGGGGCTCCACCCCAGACAGGTTCCAGCCTTCGGAGGGAAACCCTACCCTAACCCTAACCTGGTTAACACTGGGGACAAGCTTCCACCTAGAATATTCTCTATAAAATGGTGGATATGGTGGCAATCTCCACTCTAATTGAGGACTAGAGAGAGCAGTTACAACCCTAAAGAGAGCCTGTGGTTTGCCCCACCCTACATTAGCCCCCCCCATTATCCTGTAGACAAGGTTTGCCCTCATGTAGACAAGGCTTGCCCTTGGGAGTCATATTTGCAAAGATCCAGGACAGGAATAGCCATACAGCTAGGCAGTGACTAAAAGTGACTTTCAGAGTGTTAACTGAGCCATGCTCCTTGCTTTGGGACCTGTTCCTCACTGTGCTCACAGGTCTTATAGAACTACCAGACAGGTGGCCCCCATCTCCAAAGCCAGCCTTCCTCCAGGGTCCCATTACAGGGTAGGGCGAGGGCCCAGATCCAAGACAGAGAGGTCGGTAGGATCTGAAGCCACAGGGTGCCCCAGACCACTGGGCGGGAAGGAAGCAGAGTGACAGACTGCATGGTAAAGAAAGTGAAGAGGGTAGACATTTGGTGGGCATATAATATTGTCTTTCTAAAAGTGAATTTCATAGCCCTGGCTGGCCTGGAACTCATCGTATAGACCACACTGGCCTCACACTCACAGAGCTCTGCCTGCCTCTGCCTCCTGAATGCTGGGATTAAAGGTGTGTGCCACCATGCCCAGATCATTTGGTTTTTATTTTTGAAATAAGGTCTCTTTGTGTAGCATAGACCCATCTTAAACTCTCAACAGTCCTCCTGCCTCAGCCTTGTGAGTAACACAATTATAGGAATGTTCCACTATCCCTAGCTCTTATCTGTCATCTCCATCCCATATCGTGACAAATGGTATGATTATCTGTATACTCCACTCCAGACACGGAAACGGGAGGCAGTGAGTGTTCCGGGCCTGGAGATGTTCAAGTAGAGATCATCTGATGACTTGGTTGGAATGCTGGGAAGATTCAGACAAAAGAGACAGCACTGCTCTCTCGCCTTAGGAAAGAGTCCCACGACCTCATTTAGGCCACTGTATGAGTTTGACTTAGCAGAGCTAGCTGTGTAATCACTCTGTAACCTGGGTTACCATCCTAAATTTCTGAGCTTTAGATCCCTCTACTACAAAGTGAGAACAAACTAGCTTGCAGTTATTTAATGATTAACACGTGCCAGAAGCTTCACTATTATTTTCATGAGTTAGTTCACTCAGTTCCAACAACAGCCCTATGTAATGTTTGTTAATTCCCTCATTTCACATATTAAAAACAAAACCAGAGCATGAGAAAGTTAATAGAAAAGCAAATGTGTTTTGCCTTCCATCATATACACTGGCCAGGGTCCCCTGAGGTTAAGTGACACTGTGTAATGTGCTTCCCAAATAGTTCACATTGGAAGCCAGGCATGGTAGCAAATACCTGTAACCCTAGCCCTTGGGAGGCAGAGGCAGGAGGATCTCTGTGAGTTCAAAGCCAGGTTGTATACATAGCAAGTTCCATGTCAGTCAGGGCTGTAGGAAAGACCTTGTCCAAAATATGAAATAAAGAAAGGAAAGGAAAGGAGGGATGGAAGGAGAGAGGGAGGGAGGAAGGGAGGAAGGAAGGGAGGGAGGGAGGGAAAGAGAAGAAATTAGTCTATGTTGGAGCCTTTTGCAATACCACAAGGGGAACAAGCAGGCTCAAGTTCATGTCTACACTCAATAAGCATATAGCCTGTAGATATTCTTTTCTGAAGATAGATGGTGATAGGCACTATGGGTGAACCAGAAATGGGACACAAAAGGTTGCTAGACACTACCAGGTTAAACAGGAGAGTCAGAGAAGTCCCCACCCAAGGACATATGACAAGACAAAGGAGCCCAACTTGCAGACATCTGGGTGAGTGGGCAGACTGAACAGCAGGTACAGGTGCTTGTCATGGGCTCTCACCAGGAGCATGAGGAACACGACGGTTCAAGGGACAGGGTAGTCAAGAGACTGAGGAATGGGGAGAAGAGGTCAAGGGAACAATGTAGGGTGGTAGTTAGGGTTTCATGACCACCATGATGGCATTGTGTGTGTGTGTGTGTGTGTGTGTGTGTGTGTGTGTGTGTGTGTGTGTGTGTTTCCCCCTGAGGGAGATGAGAGTCTAAAGTTCTGAGGAAAACATGACATGATCTGATTAATGGTTTAGCAAGATCTCTGGCTACTCGAAGAATCTGAGCAACTCGGGAATGGTTCCAAGCCACTGTCAGAACTCGGCTGAGACAGGATGTGGGTTTGAGCAGGTGGTGATGGGTGGCCCTCAAGAACTGTCAAATATGGATGTATTCTGAAGAGAGAAGCAGTTGGATTCCCTCACCGTTTTCACAGTGCCGAAGAAACAGAGAGAAAAGTCCAGGTTGGCTAGAGATGTGGCTGGCACGCAAAGCACTTGACTGAGAGGTGGAACACTGGTTCTATCCCTAGGACTGGTGGGGGTGGGGGGGAGGAAGAAGCCACTGAGATGGCACAGTCAGAAAATTGGAAGAGAAAGTAGAGAATCATGTCCTACAAGCCAAAAGGAGAAAACACAGATGACATCTCTGGAAACAGGCATGAGCGCTTTCAAAGAGTGAGCGTCTCTCACCTCAGACATTGCATTTCAAGAATGTGTTCTGAGTAAATACTTCTGACCGTGCATACAGATTCATTGCCAAGCAGAGGATTGTGGGGGGTGGTTCTTGACTGTGTGGACATAATAGCAAAACCAGGAAACAACCTAATTGTTGGCCAGCAGGTGACCACCCAAACTTGAATACTCAATGACCCTTGAAGAGATTTGTCTGTGCACCCTTGTTAAGTACAAGCAAGCAGGTTATAAACTGTGATCGTTGACAAGGCCCCACACCAGTCAGGAACATGGTGGCCACTCTAGGCGCTTCACTCGGAGAGAGATTAAATACAGGGAATTCGATATTTACAAAGCTGGGAAGGGCTGGCTCAGATTTCTTGTTAGGTTTTAGGAAGTCGGGAGTGGCTGAAACCACAAGACACCTGAGTCTCCGGGATCAAAGCACAGAAAGAGCTGAAACCCCCTACAACCGAGATTTCTCTTCCAGGCACCAGGTCTGGTGGTGGTGTCTCTCTTTGGCACGCAGGAGATTCTGAGGACTGCAGCTCTCTGGCTTCTGGCCCCTGCTGGGCAGAAGAGCACAGACTATGAGCGGGAACTATCCAGAGCTGCCAACAGACAAAACTACACACGTTCAATAGTATGGCTTTACAAAGATAACATGCCAAA